ACAAAAAAGCATATTTTATTTCAAAAACATATTATGAATACAAAACTTGTTTCTCAAACTTTGAGTAATTCTGTTGCTAATGCTATGACATTTTTACTTGTATCTCGCCATCTTTTGTTTTGAGGTTCAGAAGCAACTATTCAGTTCATACGTTTCATAGACAAATTATTTGATATGTTGAATTCCAGAAGTCCTCATGGAAAATCATTTAAAAAGACATTATTTCTTTCTAGCCAATCAAACTGGGAAATTTATTTTAATGATTGTAAAATGTATTTAGCTAATTTAAAAGAGTTCAATGGTACTCCATTGTTAAAGCATAGGCAAAAAACATTTGTTTTGGGATTAAAAGCAGCAGCAAAAAGTACAAAAAAGCTAGCTATTGAACTATTAAATCTAAAGGAAAATCCTTTTAAAAACATTTTAACCTACAAATATTCTCAAGACCATCTAGAGTTACTTTCTGCATACATTCGTGGTAAAAATGGTTTTAACAATAATCCTAATGTTGTTCAATTTAAATCGTCATTAAATAGAATTCTTCTACATAACTCAATCATCGGATCAAAAAATGCTAATTGTCAAGTGCTAGATTCAAGTTCATTCGGTTCAATATTTTTGTTAAAACGGAACAAACACAGTAGTCCAATTGCAGCAGCAGATGTTACTTTAGATGAGAGCTTTCAAAATGTAAAAATTGTATTAGAATGCTCAAACTCAATATATAAAGAAGCCATCCTTGGGTATATTTCTGGTTATGTTGTATATTTCTGCATTATTTGCTCTGCGAACGAACGCATGTAGATTACAAGACCATTCTTATGCTATGTCGTATAGATCACTTATTAACATTAAAAATAGAGGAGGATTAGTTTCTCCTTCATATGATGTTTTTACCATTGTATATGTTTGTGAAAAAGTTTTTAAAGTATTTTTATGTGGGAATGACGCTCACAACTTGAAAATTTTTTTTGTCAATAAGATTAAAGTTAAATTGATATATACTGTTAATCGAACTTTAGTATCATTAGCTTTATTTAAGTCTTTAAATGAGCATGATGTTGAAAGCTCTAATATATTTGAAGATCTTTACTCTACCCAACTTATTAAAAAAATTTGTAGCATATATTTTAATATGAGATTCGCTCCGCATGCACAGGTGTACACTGAAAGCTTAAAAAAAGTCTACACTTGGGCTAAGACAACAAACAAATAAACTCATATTGTTTAAAGGTTTGTATAAATTTTTGTTAATGTGGCTTTAAAGATTGTAACAACCTTTATTATGTTTTTTTTTTTTTTTTAATATTTGTAATTTAAATAAACTTTTAAAAGTTTCTAGCTTTGTTTAAAATAGTCGGCTTTTGATGATATCTAGTCTTTTTTCATTGAGAATAAATATTTGCCTTATTTCAGCGAAGTGTAGTATAAAACCTCAAGTTTTTTTTAACTCATAAAAATAAGTTTGTTGTGAATTATATGAATATTAATTCTATTTATGAAAAAACATTATGAAGTATTCAGAATATGAATTCGATTTATGTAAAAGTATTATGAATTATTCAGAATATTATTTCAGTTTATGTAAAAGTGGTAATAAAACATTGGAAAATAATAACTTGTTTCATAAGTTTCTTTCTTATAAAGTAGAGATTAAAGTTTTAAATAAAAAAGTTGTAAACAAAAAACGCTTTTGGAGTATTTCTATAAATTATGATATTTTAAAAGGAACTTAGGCTCGTAAAAAAGTTATCTAAGTAATTATTAAAACGAGTTTTTAAATTATCTGTAATTTTTTGGTAACTTTTGAGGCTCTCAACGAGCATTTTTTTAAATACTTTTTTTCGCACGTCAAATATTGCTTTTGCCATTTTTACAAATGGCAGATTGAATTTGTAAACAAAAAAAGCGGCTTCACTTTTTGTCCAGTAAAATCGCGCAAGTTAGACATCTAGTATATATATTATATCATTGATACATGTAGAGATATGCGCAATCTGATTCGCTAATTTTGAAAGAGAGGCTTTTGCGCGTAAGTTTAAATTTAAAACAAATGTTAAAAAACGTATTGGTTAGTAAAAGTGAAATAGAGTAATTGGCAATTAATAATAACATAAATAATATGATTTTTCTATCCAATTTTGTACAATATAGTACATATATTTTCTTAAAAATAAAGATTTAAAAAAAATAGTTTGCTTTCCTTATGGTTTTTATATCTCTAAAATATAAAAATGACAACGATCGTAACAAACTTTAAACCAGATGGTAAAACTTGAGTATGCTGTGTTTCTTCTACGATAGATTTTTCATAACAGTTTTAAAATTTACCAAGTAATACCAATAGAATATTATTAACTTGGCATAATTTTTTTCAAATTAAGTTCCCATTAATCTTATCATTTTGCAAGAAAAATATTTTTCAAAAATTATCTGATTTTTTTTCAGGACGTTACACTTATTACTCCCATATATAATTTGTATACATCACTAAAACATTTTAAGTTTGAGAATATTGCTTATTGGTTGTTATAGCTAGTCCAGATAATTTGCAACACTCTCAAATTAAAAACAACTGTAAGCTAGAGCTGATATAGATTGGGTTTGGTAATGTATATTAATAAAAGATTACAAAGCATTTCAATTGCTTATTGGTTGTTATATCTAGCTGGGCTAGCTATAACAACCAATAAGCAATTGAATTATAACCTGATGTCAAATGTTTATTTTGATATAGTAAACTGAATACAAAAAGAAATAACCCTTAACATACCACTCCTTTATGCAGAGCTAAGTGAAAAAAGTGAAAACAAGAAAAATTGCAAACATGTAAGTTGATGTTGTTGTTTATTTCAATTTCAAAAGACAATACATATAAAACACATGTTTGTTGTTATATAACTTTTAACCTGAACAAAATATTGGTTATTCTATAATTAATAAAAAACATTTACCCTTTTATAGCAACTGATGGTAAATAATATTAAATAAAGCAACAAAGTTTGATAAATTCTTTATTTATTATGCTATTAATTCTTTTTTCTTTCTTCAGGAGTTTTTTTTCCATTTTTCTAGCCAGAAATGTTTATCTTTCATATTTTTCAAATTTTATTAATAGTTTTGTTATGTAATATTTGGTATAACCAAGTGTGTTTTTTTTTGAATTTCTGTGAATAGCTCTTGTATAATAATTTAAAAGTAGAGATGTGTTATGTTTTATCTTGAAGTGATATTAATAAATTTTTTTTGATAACTTGATTCTCCAAATGTGAAAGCTTGTTTTGATGAAGTTGTTTTTATTACAATAATTGCCATAATTCACCTAACTTCAATACTCTTTGCTAGGTTGCAATATTAATACTTATATGTAACTGAACAAAAGAACTGTTCAGTAGAAAAAACAAATATCACTTTTTTTTGTTAAATATTCCAATAGATTATTAATATACAATTTTCATCCTATTTATATATATAAGTTAAAATACCCTGCAAAACTTTTTTTAATTTTTCACCTATTTATATATATAAGTTAAAATACCCTGCAAAACTTTTTTTAATTTTTCACTAAGTGTTTGAAGGTTTAAGGATGATGTTTTAATAAAGTTAATTAAAGTAAAATATTGGTGTATGCCTTATCAGCCTTCTTAATATTTAGGTTAAACAGTAACTTCTTCTTCTTCCAGAGTTTGTAGATTTACATGAAAAATGTAGACTAGTTTGGTAAAATATCTTTAAATTTTTTTTTTTCTAAAAATTTAAATGTTTAACTATTTATAATTAACAAGATGGTATAAAGATGCAGTAATGAGCTTAGAACAACATCTGCCTCAGCTGAAAATTTATACTTTGCATTCTCTCAGTACTTTACCTTTAGTATGGTGCAACAGTATATAAACTTTGTATTGACCATGCTTTATAGAACATAGACATTACATTTAACAAGAAACACACTTAAAAATCTTGCATAATTGCAAGATTTTTAAGTGTGTTTCTATTTATCTATCTATAAAATATGAATGGAATTAATAATAATAATTAAAGTAGCTGCTTTAAGGTAGTAGGGCAATAATAATATTTCAAGAATTTAGACATACAAAACACTTTTTATTATAACAAAAATATTTATAGCATGACATTTGATTTTGTTCTTTTTTTTTTTATTTGGTTTACATATTTGACTTCAATTTTAGTCAAAATTAAATTGCCTGTTTTATTAGAGTTACGCAATAAAATAAAAAAATCAGTCTTCTCCAAACAAAACAAAACATGAAAACAAAATCTGCTCTAAGCTCATATATTGACATGGAACATATAAGCTAGTTTTGAAATTAGTACAAACTTTAATTTTTTAAAAACTCTAATATTCAACTCTTTATAATTAAGATATAAACCAATTTATAAACAAAGTTCTTCACCAGTAGTCTGGTAAAACTGCATATAATCTTTAATTTCAAAAGTACTTCACAAGTTACAATTGTATATAAACTTTGTATTTGAGTATGCTTTAAGGCCAAGAACATATTTTGCGAGAAATACATTCATAGATCTTTTCGAACTACACTTTTTTTCCATTTCTTTAAATTAAATAGATAAAACCTCTATCATCAAGATAAACTTAATTGAAACTTTGAGATTTTTACGAGTGAAAATTCTCTGATTCAAAAAGAGTTTGATACTTTCTAAATATTCTAAAGAGTAATAAAATAAAATAAATTTTCTATGTTGATAGTAACACAAGAATTGTATTGATAAACTTAGTTTATCATTACATTGTAATTTATTTCGAAAGTCTGTTGTTTCGATTTTAAATGTTTAAACAAAAGCGCATTTGCCTCTCTTTCAAAATTAGCAAATCAAATTGCTCATATTTCTGCCTATTCCCAGTGTTTCAAAATATGCTTCGCGAGGTTTATTTGTTTCGAAATAGATTAACCGGGGTGTAATAATGTTTTAATTTTATTTTAAGTTAATTTTTCAGGGAGTTAATCTGTTACGCAACTCAGGTTATTGGACTTAATTTAAAAAAATATTTTTTAAATATTGTTTTAATATTACTATGTAAAATATTATCATGTTAAGCAACTATGCAAAATATTCAACATAGTTGAGCTGTTGTATGCACAAAAATTGTGAGTTGTGTTGTCAGACACATAGACTAGAATATTTTTTTATTAAGACCAAGTAAAAGTTAAAAATATAAGTGAAAATAATAAACAAAATTTTTTGATAGTTTGTGAAGTTTAATTTTATTTTAACTATATTTTTATAATTTCACAAAAGATAGTTAAAATTTTAGATTAGCTTTATCAACCCCATCAGTTTCAACAGTGCCATCTAGTGACAACAATGTAAGCCATAATAAATTTTTGTCTCCTTTTATAATTATTTTTAAATGCAAAAAAATAAATATTTGATTATTGTAGGTATCTTAAGGTAATCATATTTAATGGTGGCTAGGTAAATTATATTAAAAGTTGATAAAAATCCAAATTCAATACTTATGCCTCAACTTTGTATAATAGAGGATTAGATGCCCGCTCTAGCGCCATTGCTAAGTTTTTTATATACTTATCTTTTTCAAGGGTTTTCTTTTGATACCAAATTGTACACATTTTGATAAGAATTGACATAGTCATAACATTTTAAGAAAATC